CATTACGGGAGGGAAATCGAATTGTGGATTTATGCAGCTCCCAAGCTGCAGGATTCGCCGTCACTTCTTGCTATGTTGGTCGAGTTAATTAACACTCGCATCAAAACGGCGATGTTAATGTCTGAATACACATACGACCGTCGTGTAGAAACTCGATGTTATATACTTCTGAGAATTCGTAATTACGTATATAACATGCAAGTGCAATTAGTGCTTCGCGACTGTTTGACTAATTCGTGTAGCGACACTCTCAGCTCATAAACAATCGCAGTCCCTCGGTTAAAATAACAAATGCAAAGCTCTTTGCGGCACCTATCGTTTTGTAACTGTCGTGACTGTCGTGGAATCGTGCTACGAAGTCGTCCTTTTTTCGAGAAAAGAGATCACGTCTAGAAAGCAGCTTTTCGTATCTTCGAGAAAACAGTGTATTGAGAAATACCTGATTATAAAATAAAAAGATTATTGCAGATCGCACGGAAAAAAATAATTTAGAGGGACGGCAAATTTTATGCTGTCATATCAAATAAATAAATATACAGGATATTTCTTAAGTCCAATATTTCAGAAGTTTTGAGGACGTTTTATAAAGAAAAATTCATATAAATATATGTTCATTTCGTCATAAGATGACCTCAAAAATCGACTTTTAAAATACTGAATAGTACTCAAACATTCTGTATATTTATTTTATTACAGCAGCATGAAAAATTTGCTGTCCCTCTGAATTAATTTTCTCCGTGCGTGATCGAAAACGCGTTACTCTCCAAATTATTGAGCGGCGAATAAAATTTCGATAACTTCTGAAGGAATTAAAGCGTACAGCTGCACCGCGATCGATATATTTTCCCTCGCTGAATTGCCGAAAGCAGGCCTACGTATCCGGATAATACCAACGAATTACGGTAGAAAGAGAGTGGTTAGCACACGGTAAATTTCGATTGACCGTGGGGGTCAACGATTGGTCGATCAAGTTCAGCAGCCAGTTAGCCGACAGTTAGCCTGCTGTCGTTCGGCTAACGACTTAATGACGGGAATTCACCACTTACGAGTTCCTCTTTTTCTCCTCCATCCTCTCTTCCTCTCTTTCTCTCTCCCATCCTGTTCTCGTTCGCGCTTCTCTTTCTGTTCTTCATTAGCAATGCTATTGGCGCAGAACAACGTGGCCGACAGTACGGTAACAATGTCGAAAATTAGTCGATACTTAAATGGAATCACCGTTGGTCTTTGTTTTGTCACGTCGATTAACTACAGCGAACGGATAAATTCAGATAAACGCCCGCGTCGATGTCAATGTACATCGCAGGTAATCTCATTTTGTTGCGTTTCTTATATGTCCTCTTTTCTTCTTTTGTTTTAAGTTGAATGATTAACTGAAAATATCGAGTATACCGATAACGTTAGTATACTCGCATTGTTATAGAGAAGATTATGTTTATCGTGTTTCTAATAACAGGGTGTCCCAAAACTCCCGTGAAGTATAAAATGTGGAGTGCACAAGAGTTTTGATATCAAGAGAACTTTTTCTTTTAAAATTGCTTTCGAACAATATAATATCCGCGAAAAGCGATTGAAAAAATGAGGGTTTTCGCGAATTGAATTTCGGAAGAACAAATGGGTAGCACAATTATCTTCTTCGGTCAGTTTCAAGTAAATTTTACTTGAACAGAATTTTAATATAAGGCTTAGCTTCAAAGATGTGTTATGTTGGAAATTGAAGAGTCGCTCCGAATAATGCCTTTTCTCGATATTTTCGTTAAGGAAAATGTTATTTCTTCTGACATGAAGGATCTCCTTATACATTCCGCCTGAGGGAATTTTAGAACACTGTGTATAAATATTTTCGTGAATAAAAAGAAAGAGAGAGAAAGAGGGCGAAAAGAGCGATTGCTTACGTAACCTTTTGCCCGTAGATCGTGATTGAAAAGGTTCTTTTAAAGGTTTGAAATCGCCCCGATATAGGCGATTATTCGCGCATTCTTGCGGCTCTCTCTCTCTCTCTGGAACGATGATATTTAATGTCTCTTCAATTTTTTAATACTAGGTAATACTAGGAAATGACATCACGACAATAGACAGTAGACTGTTATTCTACAGGTAATTGTAAATGCATCATGCAACAATTCTGCAAAGCGTAAACCACGGCTGAATTGTTCTCGATCGATTTCTCACGAACGAGTCATTTAAAATCAACCCGTCATCTACCTCTCGTTTTCCCTCTATATCTTCCCTGATTGTAACGGAAATCACAATTAGTTCTGCTTTTTAACGCAGTAATTGTCTCAATTCAAATTCAGAAAGTATTCAAATTCAGAAAGAGTGCGGCAAACCTGTTGGCAACCGGGCGAAGCGAAAGTTTTACGATATCGTGTATCAGAAACATGAGTACACTGTGTACAATGTAACATGTCGGCGAGAACATATTTCAATATATATTTAATTACACTCGTGTCACTTAATCAATGTCGGTGTCAAACGTCGTAAATTAGACTGTACCGATCGATGAATAACTTCTGTCGATTTTGTTTCTTTTCGTTTTCATCGCCGTTAAGTGAATCGATCCGTCGGACCGGTTGGCGTGTGAAGATAATCATCTTGAACGCTATCATCTACGGCACATTAAATTAAGGTTAAGCCTTATCCAACGATCGCAATCTAATCTTTCATTACGATCTGACGTGCTTCAACCGGTATATCTGCAGCTCCAATAGTGTAGTTGCTTGTCGATCACTGTTAATCGACACCAGTAAATCGGGGGAGCTTTGCAAACAACAAACGATAGTAGTTTTCACGTTATCAAATTATTTTGCACGATTAAATTTTGAAATTTATCGTACGACAAAAATATCTCGCGTAAAGAGACATTTTCTCATAATAATACAATATTATATAGAAATGCATATATATAATATATCTAGACCAAGCGTTTACCTTTATTTGAGGAGTGGGGGTAGAAAAGGATGCACTCCGTTTGGTGCTCCTTGCGTTCTCTCTCGCTCACGTGGGTCTATACGTGTGTCTATAAGCAACATGTATAAGCGAACGAGAAAGAACGCCAGGGGCACAAAACACAGAGAGTGCGTATTTTTTACGTATACTTCGACTCCCTCACTCCTCAACACTCGGTCTAGATATATTATGTCTATGTAGAAATTTTACGTGTAATTAATGTTTGTGTTGATTTTCTATTGTTTTGAAGATAATCCGTAATGAGAAGTTATTAGCATCAAACAGCGTGTTGTTAAATTTAATCTGTCAATGTAAATCCTCGCTTTGCGTGCGTCAGCGCAAAAGATGCCGAGCAATTCTTTACGTAATGAGAAACATTCGTTTCTCTTAGGTTTTGCGGACTATGGATACGAGCACATTCGTGTGTGGGATCTTGCCGAACGCTCGTGAGCATTTGAAATTTTGTTCTTTTCGTTTCCGTGGAGCGAAAGTTGTGTAAAATTGTCATTTTGGTGAACATTTTTGTTGAAAATCCAACTACTGTGTATACAGAAGTGAAGATTAAGCTGTTTATCTGAAGAATATATGGTGTTGGAGGTGTAAATGTTACAAAATGGACGTAAGTACAAATTTAAGTGGATTGATTGACTATTATCATTTTTATAAAAGCCATAAAATATTTGAAAAAAATCATACTAGAGTGCTATAACCTTTTAATTTTATAGTTATCACATTACGATCGGACAACTCTTAACACTTTGCGGTCTGTCGGCGGCACGATACCGTCGCGCTCATTTCGACGTGGCGGTCCGTCGACGGCACTGTGTCGTCGCGATCTGACAAAATTGGTTTTATCGTTAAATCGAAACAAATGCGGTTTTAAGCAACATGCGAAACAGAATGAATAGCGATTCGTAGCTATGTCAAAACAAGTGACGATCGCTCCAAGTGTTAGGATGGTTCTTTCAGAGCTAGTCTTTCGATTCTAGTCAGTCGAAAGATTTTACCAGTATAAACGCTATTGTGAGCTGAGGAAAAGCAAAAAATGTTATCTAACACAGATTTTTCTTCAAATAAAGAGATTCAAGACGTAGAAGGTAAATACGACTCTTACAATCAGTCATTGGTTTATTATTTATCAATCGTACGCGTGTTCTCTAATTGCATTTGTTTATTTATCTATTGTTTGGTTTCGTATTGTGTATTTTATATTATTTTGTTTCATATTATACGGTTATAGATGATGTATTACCGATATTTCGTCGACGTATTTTGAGACGAATTTCGTCAGAATCGTCAGACGATGAGAATATTAATTTATATCCGCGGAGGAAAAACAATGTTTGCAAGCACATGCAAACGAGAAGAGAAGTATGTTTTTTATTCTTTTATTAATCCTCTTGATATAATTTATGCGCTTAAAAAGTCGATTATATCAATGTTTGGCTTTTTTCCAGCTCAAAATAGACCCTGATATTGATGGTCTCAGAAAGTAAAGCTCTCACGGAAAAGTTCACTTTTATGATGTTTAATAATAGAGAAAAGAATGAACTTCACGATAAAAGTTGTTTGAATACGATAGGTTCAATAGTTTTTTTTAGATATTAACATTTGTATAAGAAGAAAATTAACCAAATAAGCGCGGCTACTTGCGTATTATGCCTTCGAGAAGTTCGAATAGATGAGTCAAGCGTCTCCGGGTGGGCCGCGGACCGCAAAGTATTCAAGTTATATCGTTAGGAAATTTCTGTTGATATTCTATATCACCGTTCGGCAAACAAAAAAATACTCGATTAAGTTCGTAAAAGTTCCTCTCGTTTTTTAATCAAAATGCGCGTATAACGCTTATTTATTTTTCATTTCTCATTTATTTTAAAATACAATCAATCACATACAATCAATTATACACAATATACTCCTACGTTGTATTGTTCGATGTCCTCTCCTATAGTTCCTACAACACGATCGTAGAAATTCTGGTATTTCTGAACGAAGGAAATTCTGATGAAAAAATTTTTTTCATGAATGGTTTACTTGGCTGTCTCTATTTACAGACGCCGACTGTGACGGAGACAAATGCATTACAATGGCCGGACTACCTCGTAATCAGCGCGGTCATGTCGGTCTCTGTCTTCATCGGGATCTATTATCGATTCAGCGGTGGTCGACAACGCACAGCCGCGGTCAGTTTCGAAAAATCAATTTTCATTTCAACCAAATACCCGACTAAATATCGCCTCTTGGCGTTTCATCCATTGACGTGACTGTCGATGATGAGTGATCACGACGAAGTGCTTCGCACGCGCTTCGCGTCTTATAAATAGAACAATATATCAGGTGTATTTTTCACCTTTCTTTTTTACTAACTTCACCCCGCCGTAATAGTGGCGGGGNGAGCCCTTCGTGGAAACGTGGCGCATCGTAAACGATGCTTCCTGTGCGCGAGTCTGCTATTTAACCGATCGCACAATTACCACCGACAGGAGTACTTCTCGGCGGAGAACTCGATGGGCATCCTACCCCTCTCGATCGCCATGATGGCTTCCCATATATCGGCAATTACCATGCTCGGAATCAGCGGGGAATCTTACATCTTCGGCGCGTCCATCGTGATCTTGTACGTCGCCGGCGGTTTAGGCATACCTCTCATCGTCTACTGCTATCTACCAGTGTTTTTCGAGATGAAGGTCGTGAGCATCTACGAGGTAATTACCGGACGATCGCTCCACAACTATCGTCTACTATTAACAAGCATATAGAGTAGCAGTTCGATCGTAGCTCTTCGAAGAAGGCCGGCCGCCTCACCTTGCGCGAATACGCAATCGAACACCTTATAAAATCTGTCGAAGAGTCAAATGTTCCGTGGTGGAGGAGCGGGGCGGGAGAAAAGAAAAGCAGAGAGTTAACTCTCGCCGAGATTCAGCTTAGAAATATACGATATCGGTCATAAAATCTCGAGGACTGATCCTGAAGCAATTTCCGAGACGATTACTTAAACAGATCTGTCCCCGGGTAAATTGCGGGGAAACTTTTTGTGTATCTCGAATCATTGGGGTCTGCCGCAGGAACAACTTGCGAGACCGTTTTCCCTAACAAATTTCTGTTCTCCTGTTTCTCCTGTTTCTGTTCTACCTTCAGTATCTGGAAAAGCGATTTGGGTTGTACATGCGGCTGCTGGTGAGCACAGCTAACTTTACTGAGACGCTGCTACTGGCCGGTGTGATGTTATATGCTCCTTCGATAGCCCTCGAAGTCACCGCGGGCTTGTCCAGCACCACGAGCATCGCAGTGATCGCTGTAATCTGCACCTTCTACTCTACGATAGGTGGCATCAAGGCCGTTTTGATCACCGACATTTTTCAAGGGGTGCTCATGGTCGTCGCTTTTGGTACTTTAATTGGCATCGCTGCCGATAACGTCGATGGAGGAATCGCCGGTATCTGGCAGATCGGGCGAGAAGGAGGCCGTCTCGATTTCACCGAGTGAGTTAGGCCAATTGACACGTATCCGTTTAAGAGGGGGTGTAAAGGTTCGTACTTGTGAAAAGTTTGTTAAATTTGATTCGTTGCTACAGATATACTACTAGGACTACTACTGGGATACTTTATACGTTTATTATTAATATAGATAGTATAAGTAGCCTAAACAGAAGGATTTTATATTCAATCAGTTCTTACGCTTATAGTAACGAGTGAAATTTCACCGACTTCTTCGAAGTTCAAACCTTTCTACCCACTTCAAGCGAAATTATTTCCGCATACTCGAAGTGTGTAGTAAAATGTTAATGCGTCGTTGCTAATGAAACTGCGCGACGAAATGATAGCGGGGAGCACTCACGAGACTCATGTCAATCCGTTCAGGTGGAGTTTCGATCCGACTGTGCGGTACACATGGTGGAATCTTTTGATCGGCGGGATGGCGATAGGTCTGTCCTTCTTCGCGGTGAATCAGGTGCAGGTGCAACGTTTAATGGCCGTTAGGTACGTAGATTTGAGGAAATCACGTTATTATTCACAGCTGTGAATCTCCTCGCACACTCAGGGATTTGAAGGTGGCCGCGAACGCTTTGCTATTGTGCGGTCCTTTCGTCATACTGCTGGGCGCTCTCACGTGCTTCACCGGTCTGTCGCTCTACGCGGTCTACGTAAACTGCGATCCGGTGGCGTCTGGGAAAATCTCGTCGTACGACAAGATCCTGACTTATTTCACCGCGGAGAGATTGTCACCCGGAGTGATCGGCCTGATAGTCTCCGGTATCTTCAGCGCCAGCCTAAGCACGGTCTCCGCGATGATGAACTCGTTGGCCGCGGTGGCGCTAGAGGACTACGTGAAGCCGCTGCATCGGAAATTGGGAATCGACTTCGGCGATAAGAAAGCTATCTTCACGGCCAAGGCCTTCACTTTCGTAAACGGAGTTCTGTGCCTGCTGTTAGCTTTGTTGCTGCGCACGTTGGGCGGATTAGTCGTCGTCGCTTTGGGTATCGCCGGGGCTATCGGCGGGCCGATTCTCGGTATCTTCACTCTCGGGATGTTCAGCGAGACTGCTAACGAAACGGGAACCAGCATCGGTATGATCACCGCTTTGTGCATCTGCTTGTGGGCGGTTTTCGGCCAGCCGAAACCGCAACCGCTGATGTTGCCCGTTTCGGTCGAAGGTTGCGCGAACTCCACGATCGCCCAGATGCGATTAAACAGGTACGATGCCTTTTTTGAACTGTTGATATCTAACGAAGCTGACATGAGCATCGATCACGTAACTTTTCCTCTAGGAAGTATGGAAAGTAAAATGTTTTCAAATTAGAAAATGTACACTTTCTCGCGAGTTCACGCTAGAGGAGAAGATGTATGATGAACACCCAGGGGTTCGTAAATCTCCTCTTCTAGCGTGAACTCGTGAAAGGTGAAAATGTTCTAATTTGAAAATATTTGCAATTTTCGCTTTTTACGTGTCCGCACTAGGGAGAAATTATATGATCGAAAGCCTGATCGGGGAGATCGTTGATTCGATATCTCGCGATTCGGGAATTTGTTCGAGCGTCTCTTCCCACGGAAAATTCCAATTCGGGGCGGGAGGGGGAGGACGGAATAACGACGCGATACTGAAACGTTAACGGTTGCAGTGCCATCGCGGATAAATGCGATACGGATTTACGATTGCCGGCCGTTCATCTCGCGCGCCCTAGGCCGACGAATCGAACGAGCATAGATTTATCTTAGTCGAGGGAAACGCACACAGAGGATGGGAGAGAAAGAGTAGCGCGACGGCGCATGGCACGAATCGCACGATGATTAGAATATGAATTATCGGCGGGCCGTAAATCGTCTTATCGCGGCTCTTCGAAATTTGCCCAGCGCCGATGTTGTTACCGGCAGGCACGGAGATATTACGCGCCACCGTAATTAGCTGCGAGTTTAAGCGCCACTTCCCGATTTCTTTCACGCTCGGCGGTTTCGCCGCGGCGCGATAAGCCCGCGTTATTCGGCATTCCCACGGTGGTAAATAACGCTAATTGCGCCGTTAATAAACTGAAATTACGCTTGTCTCGCGGAATACTCGCTGCGCCGTTATTAGCGGGATTAGATATGTTATTGCTTTCTCTTTGTCGGCGGGAATTCGCGTAAATTGACGGCTCCATTTCCAACGGTGCAAGAAATTGAGAGGCTGCGCCGCGCGACGATGAACGGTTTGATTTAATTGAAATAATCCCTCGACGTGGCAGATAATAGATAACGATAAACGCATCTCTCGGGGGCGTTATCGAACGATAATTTTATCGCTCGAGAGATCTTTCTCCGATCTAATATTTTATATTGTAAAATATTAAAAAGAATATATAGTTAATTACATTTTAATTATATTTAATTTAATATTGAATTTAATTTTTACGTTTAAATTATATATATATATACTTAAATTAATTTGAACTGTTTGAATTTAAATTCAATAATTTTTATTTAACGTGTAAACATAGATATATGTTCATTACACGACGCTTTTAAAATTATGATACATTCACGTTCCTCATGTTGATTTTATTCTCTTCCGCAGTACCGCGCTACCGGACAAGTCGTCGTACTTCTACTTGTATCGTATTTCCCACATATGGTATAATCCCATAGGGCTGACGATTACTATAATAGTTGGATATATAGCAAGTATTATAATACGGCTTATTCGACCTGAAAATAATATCGAATACGATCCAAGTTTGTTCGTGCCATTTTTGGCTGCTAGAATCAGACGGCGACGCCAGGACGCGGAGAAAACCACCGGCAGTCAGCTATTCGTCCTGGAACCGAGCCATATAAGATGAGAAGTTTGTAATTAAATGTGTGATTATTCGAAAACTATGTGTTACTTCTTCAAATCGATGTATAGGATATCGATTCAACGTTTGACGTTAAAATGGCAATTGATTGACTATCAGTGTAATATAGCCAAGCTATAATATTGAATCTGATTTCTCACGGAATTAAAAGCACGTCAAAAGTTTGTTTGTGTTAGTACGTGACGGTACATAGAAAAAAGATTCCTTTAGATTTAATAAAATTTCTTTAATTGAAATAAATTTGTCTTTTGGAATGGAGTAAAAAATGGATGTTTGATTCAACAAACAGAATTATTCGGTTTCTCAAATAATAAATATCTTTATGTTAAATAACACATTTTTTAGTATTTTCCTCCAAATATTACAACGATTGTTACAATCAATAAGTTATTTGAAAGAAGTAACAGTAAGTTAGAAAGGTATTAGAGAACTTCTTTTTATTTCAGCGAAACAACATTTAATGTACAATGAAATTATTTTTATTCATCGAAAACTAAATATTATATATTTCCTTTAGAAAAATGTTTTTTTTTTTTTCTATTAAAAAACATAGTTTAATCTGGTGAATCATTTTTATTCCAATAAAATGATATTTGACATTAAACTATGTTGTTTATATTAAATAAACCTAAGTCAAAGAAATATGTGTGCTAAATCCAACAAAGAAACCCTTTTTCCGTGTATATATATTATATTACGATAAATTCGTGTTACAGTTCGTTATAAATAAAATGCATACCGATATCTCTAATAGCAGTAACTTTTGATATCAACAGATTGTGAATAAAGAGTGCTTATAGTTCATTTATACTGAAAAAAAACTTTTAGCGACGCAACAACGTAGTTTTGCAAGCTTCGTTCTGTTCATTTATAAAGCTAAGGGCTTTTATCCAATTACAAGGCGGCGCGAGAACATGTCCGCAAATCGGCGCCGGTCGATCGTGATGAATGCCGGTAAACTCGTGTACGAAATTTACGCGTACCAGTTTTTCAGTGGAGGCCCCGTCTGCGCATTAATTTGCAATTTAACCAGCGTCGATTGGCGAAAAAGGATGCGATGGGATAATACGGTATGTGGGCTGACTCGGTGACGACGAGCCGGCGATTTAACGGGGCAATCCCGCTGTGTTGTGAAAGCCGCCGAAATTGGCGCGACTTATCTCGTAATCGTCTACGGCCAATTACCGTGTCCAGCACGAGCAGGCTTTTAATTCGTTTAATCGAGGTTCATTTGTACACGGGAACGTAGTTGCCCCCTGCGTGGCGTATGATTGGATGGCGAAAGAAAGATGAAGTAATTGATACGTTGCTGAAAACTCGACTCGTGATGTTGTTGTAACGAGTTCACAATGGAATGTCGTACTTTCTCGCTTAAGATACGGGACTTGCTACAATAAATGATACTATAATTTTGATAATTCGGAAAAACCCGTTTTCTTTTCTTCGGTTCTTCTCCCAAAGAAACCGAAGAGTAATTCGTTTAGAAAAATTCATGTGTGTTCGATTAAAACCCGCCGCATTTAATTTTTTTTTTCGTAAGAAAGAAAAGAGAAAACAAGAAACCGGAAAAATACCAAATGATACTTGATAAAAATGATATCTTATAAATGATACCACAATTTTGCGGTTATAAATCGAGCGTGGGTGAAAATTCGGCACGTAAAGGATTTAATCAGAACGCAGATGCAAATCTCTCTGACGCGATCTCCGCGTATCGCGAGCGGGCCCTCGTGAGGCGGTTCGCGCGTATGAAATAACACTTGTGAAATGCGCGCCTCGTGTAACGTAAATTCCATGAATCGAAACCCAAACCAATTTTCCCGCGCGCCATCTTCCCCCCCCCCCCTTTCCCCGGAGCTTATCATCCCGATCTACACGCGAGACTACTTGCCGTTATCGCGCGTGCATCTCCGTTGCATTTTCACGATGACTAGACTCGCGGCGTTGCGCGGAGGGATCGGCCAGGAGAGGACTCGCTCGAGAATACCGGAGGGCGATACCCATAGAAATGCGCATACGTACAATGGCTGAAACTTTCGTCCCACCCTCGCTTACCCCTGCCGCGCGCGATTCGCAGACTTGCATTTAAAATTGAAATCGTGGTTGCCCGTCGGGCGTCGACTTTGTACACGCCCGCTCCGTCGCGCTCGATCTTGATTATCGACGCGCTCTTCATCTCGTCTTTTTATTTATTTCCTTCCTCGTTTTCTCTTTTTAGTATTCACCCTTCTCCCCCGTCCAAGCCATCCACTTTTTCGGCTATCCGCGATGCTCACGAGAGTCGCGTGAATATGCATGAGCTGTCTGGCGCGCAGCCAGGACGAATTTCAAAGCAGAAATCCTGCCGACCGGTTCATTCATCGGCGCGGCCGCCCGCCGGATATGTTTACGTTGTGACGTACGGTTCATTCTCGAGGGGGATCCTTTCAGGGAGGGAGAGGGAAGAAGGATGGAGCTTCGGGCTCGTACTTATTTAAGGTTTCACAATTGGACAACCGCCCGGCCAGTGGGAGCGCGTTACCCGATGGGCTGTAGTGTGCGATAAATTTCTATCTAGATTGTACGTTATTGATACGTAGTCCGGCCGCTAATATGAAGGATTTACCGAGGATTACGGTATCGAAAAATCAATAAAATCTTTCCGAGAGCGACGAAAGAGATTTACTGTTACAAGCCGTTATTACAACAGAGAGCCTTCATCGAGAGATACCGTTGCAATATATTTTTCGATTTTGCGGTAACAGCAGCGATTCCCTCCGACATACCGGCCGCTACAAAAAGCCCGCACCTCTGCCCGGATCCCATAGGTCCTCCGCGATAACCTATGCAAAAGACAGTTCGTGCACACGCGCGATGCTGAGGCCGCATCCGTGCGGAATTCAGCGGTGCGGCCGAGCCATGCATTATAGGGAATACGATATCCATCTCACGTCAAGATCCGCGGATCTTATGGCCGCCGCGGCACCTAGTCGCCGCAAAACGACGGGAAACGACGGCAGCGCTTTGCGAGAATTCAGAATCGCATGCGATACACGCGCCTGCACGCCGCAACGACGAAACTTTTTATAACCGTCGGTTTATATTTATTAGGTGTTCAATTAGCACGATTGTGTACGGCCAGTCACAGGACGGTTGCGACACTTCTTCCTTCGATGAGTCTCGCGATGCGCCTCGTGTCCAATAGGAAAATGTATCTCCTGAGAATTACCAAAAAACGAGTTCTCTTATTGGACGCGGGATACGTTCCGAAGCTTATAAAAACAAAAAATGTTGCAACCGTGACTAACCATACAGTCGTGAGCAGAAAGATCGCGATACTTTCTTTTATGAGTTTCACAACGCATCTCGTAATACTCGCTATTATTAGTGTCCTATTAGTCATTCTCAATGATCGGATACGCGAGTTATGTTGCGAAACGCGCCGGAAAAAGTGTTGTAACTGACCACACACACACACACACACCGCATGATTCGCAACAATCGAAGGACGATAACGGGAAATAATCCGGACGATTCAAATCCCTGAAATGCGCCCCGAATAGCGGCATCCTGGGCGTTCTTTAGATACGTATTCGGAAATGCTGTGTTCCCTATGAGTTCCGCTTGCGCAGGCGGAACTACCGTCTTCTGCCCTTCGCCTGGGACCGAACCTGCAATCGGAGCCATATTGACCGAAGCCTGGGCACGTTATTACGGAAAGCGCCTCGAGGTTTTCGCTCCAACGGACGATGCAACGTTACGAGATGATCAGTTGCATTCGCTGCGTGGCTTGCAGCGGGCCTTTCCTACCGATTTAACCGCAAAACCACCCGTCCGGCGGCTCTCTTATCTTGAGCTTAAGTGCAGCTCGCAGCCACCGCCAGCCGCGTCCGGTCTGCGGCTGGTCGCAACGGGCGCGGGAATTCACGAGCCGATCCGTGTGAAATGATGGCTACCGGGGAAGGTGGCCGACGCGGGGGCGGATTTAATGCACCACGGACGATCCCGAATTGACTTGTAAAACGGAAAGTAAATCGCGCCGGAGAATATCGATTCCCCGCGCACGGTCCCACCTTCAAATGTAGACGCGATCGTGCCGGCTCGTATGGTGTCCTGAAGAAGATGGAAATACGCGACGCGCGGAGGTAGACACAGCCATGGGAAATATGGCGGCTCCTTGTTCAGCTGAGGAGGATAAAACGCGGCTCCCGATATGGCACGCCGCAGTAATTCGATTGCCCCGTAAATTCCCTGTCAAATTCATACCGCGTGGATTCTTACGCTGTGGATCCGGGGATTCAAAACCGTTGCACAGAAAGTTATTAGCGCGGAAATTATTAGCTTGAATAATATTTGATTTATCTATGATCTGGGACGGGAAAACAACCCTGTTAGTATAACTGAATTTTCCATTGCCCGGAGACCGGACGAAAACTCGGTTATAAGAACAGAAAGATTCTTGTAGGAGCCCGAATCGAAATTTTATTTCTACATCAAGTCTTCATTAGGTCTCTTATTGTGCTTCTTTGATGCTACAAATTGGAAATTATTTACGTTTTCTCTACTTGAAGATTTAATGTAGAATTTTTCATTTTCCCCTGGCAGGTTTAAATTCCCTTTGTGTTCCCCTGAATGTTCAGACCGAATGTTTTCGGTCGCGATAATCCAATGAGAGAAAATTATAGTTGTTTTCTGTGCGAACAATATTTTTGTGTTATCTTAATTACAAAAGTGAAGTGGACTATTTTTCTAGTAAATGTTATTATAGTATTAATAATCTTGTATGCATATTGCTATTGCTATTTTTATGATTCAAGTAACAAAAGGATATTGTTGGCGCCGAAAATAACTATAATTTCCTCTCAGTGCTAAGGTATGATTTCTCCTCATCGAGTCTTCGTTTGGTCTTTTAATCGGTTATACGGATGACAATTTTGTTCGCATATACATACTTTTCTCGCGAACAAAGGAAGACTTTGAATCGCGTGCTTGCAATCGAAATTGCGGAGAATAGTTCTTAAAGATGTCTCGCAGCGAAGAGCGCCGATATTCGAGCCGCCCCTAGCTGAGCAGCTGATACTTCCATCTGCCATGATCTTATTGCTCTCCCGCATTTATTGTGCCAGGGCATTTGTTGGACACTTTGTCGGCGAGCTCGTTATAGCAGCCGAGAAAGGCGTTCGACGTATCGAACTCGATCGGCCTATTGTTAGCGGGCGTAGTCACGCAATGGACACCCGATCGTTTCATCCGGATCG